CTTAATATAGAACCTGGCCCATAGAAAGGCTCTATAAACATTTGTTGAGAAAAAGTGAGAAGGTTAACACTGATTTTGAGTTCCTTTTCTATTATTGCTTTAAATTCTTTATTTATTTTATTTTTGAAAATTTGATTATGTGTGTCTCAATGTAAATTACTTTGGAATCATTCTATTTGGAGTTCATTGGAATTCTTGAATCTAAATGTTCATTTTCCTCACCAGAATTGAGAAGATTTCTGCCATTATTTGTTTAAATAAACTGATTTTTCCTTTTTTCTGCTCTTCTTCTTGAAGTCCCCAAATGCACATATTCTTCTACTCAATGAAGTTTCATAAGTATTTTAGGAAGTTTTTACTCTTTTTCATTCTTTCCCCCCCCCTTTGGTTCTATGACTACATAATTTCCAATGACTTGTCTCAAAGTTTGCTAACATTTTTTTCTACCCAATAAGGTCTGCTGCTGAATTCTGCTAGTTATTTTTCTCAGTTCAGTTAGTTTATTCTTCAGTTCCAAAATTTCTGTTTGGCTAGCTCTTCTTTATATTTCTCAACTCTCTCTTGATATTTTCATGCTAGTTTATTTTGTTCCCATGATTGGGTCCTGTTTCTCTGTCTCCTTGTGTGTCTCATAATTTTGTATTGAAACACATGCAAATCTCCCAGTCTTTACAGATTGATTTTTTTCCAGAGGAAGGCCCTCACTAATCAGCTGAACTATAGATTATCAGGACAAATTGGGGGGGAATATGACTTCTCTGAACCTGTGCATGCATTTTGTCAGAAAGGCTTTTTAGAACCTTATAATCACTTTCTCCTTGTGTTATTTGTCCAAAATAATAAGTTCTTTAGTCCTGTTACAGAAAAAAAATTCCCTATTCTACCTTCATTTTAGCAATCACTAGACAAATATGTTGCTTCCTGAAGGAATGTGAGACCGACACCCAGTCCCTTAGAACATCTTCCAGAAAGCAAAAAATACTGAATGTATGCTCAATTTCTCACCTTCCTCCAGAAATAGGAAATGAAAATATTCTGATTTCATCAGCACTCCAAATGTAGCAAGACACGAGTCATTTCTTCAGGTAGCCTTCTGAAAAGTCAAGCTTTGAATGGGACATCCACTTTCATCTCTTTCCCCAAGGTAGAAGTCACAATCCAGAGAGCTTTCCTGGGACTGAATTGAGCCATGTTGGAGAAGTATCTCATACAGATAAAATGAAATTGCTCTTCTTACCCATGGTAACTGTTCTTGACTTTTTGGGTGTACTGCAACTTTCTAACTTGATTCTGAAATTTTCATGAACAACTTTTGGTCCATATATTATTGTTAAAATTGTGGTTCTCATAGGAAATTGGGAATGAAACTTTTCATTTCATCATCATGCTAATATCACTTCCAATATTTTGTTTTTAATTTCAATTCTACTTGTTCATTGCTGGTATACAGAAAAGAAACTAATTTTTATATTTTAATCTTGTATCCGGAAAACTATCCATAACTAATTATTAGTTTCCTAAGGTTTTTCTTGTTGTTGATGATGATGTCTTGGAGTTTCTATATATAATCAAGTTATATGCAAAAAGGAGAGTTTTGTTTTATCCTTCCCAAACTATATCTATTTGCATGATTTTTCTAGGAATATCATAAGAGTATAAATGATATTCCTAGAAAATTAAGAGCTTAAGAGTATAAATTTATTTTCTTATAGCCTGGGAAGTTGAAAGTCCAACATGAAGTTATCATCAGAGTTGATTTCCTCTGAGACCACTCTTTTTGGTTTATAGATGACTGTACTCTTATTGATTCTTTATATATTAAAGACTCTGTGCACATGCACCTATGGTGCTTCTCATGCCTCCTGATATCCTCTTCTTACAAGTATACCAGTTATATTGAATTAGGGCCCACCTATGGTCTTATTTTAAGTTTATTACATCTTTGAAAGAACTATCTTCGAATACAGTCATATTTTTAAGGACTGGAAGTTAGGGCTTCAACATAAAAATTTTAAAGAGAAACAATTCAGCCCATAAACTTTCTTATTATATTGCATTATCTAATGCTCTCAGTTCAAGATTGAAAAAGTGTGAGAGGTGAAATTCTTCCCTTGTTCCTCATTGTAGAAGGAAATCTTCTAGTTTCTCACTATTAAAGATGATACTAACTGCAGATTTGTAATACATATTTTTTATCAAGTTGAGGCAGTTCTCTTATATTAGTTTGCTAAGAGCTCATTTACTCTTTTTCTGCTCATACGATCATCATAAAAACTCAGTAAATTTCAAAAAATGGGAAGATTCAACTACCATACAGTCTTTGTTTATTAATGAGTTAATTTGTTTGATATATATACCTGTAGGTTTTCAAATCCTCCTTTTTCTCCATTAACATTGACACATATTAATGAACCACTGGCCCAGAAGATTTCTTGTACCCCACAGTTTAGGGGGAGTCAGATAGTAACAACAACAGATGCAAACAATTCACAGCATTATACAAAATAGCTCTTGCACCGAAATCTACAATCTTGATTGTTACAATACTCAGAAATAATATGATCAGTTATTACCCATGGTAAAAACAGTTAATTTACATAGGGTTTCCAATTTCATGTGATGACAAGAGACTGAACAGAAGTGACATAGGATGTAAAAATTATGAGGAAAAACAAAAATAGAGGTAAAAATTTAAAGAAAAAATGAAAGAACAATAGAGGTTTGCTCTTTGCAGAGAAAAAGAGAAAGAGTTGAAGGAAAACAATAAGTGAGAAAAAGGAAATAATAAAAGTAAAATAGCAAAATAAAAATTTTTAAAAATTAAAAGAAAGATAAAAGAAAAAAAATACAGAATAGAAATAAAAGTTTAAAAAGTAAAATCTATATATGCTAATCAAACTTCTTTGTCTTTGAAATATTTATCCCTGAAAAATAACTGCTTTCAAATAAAATAGTAGGAATGAAAAGAAAATGAGGATATATGAATAAGTACAAGCATCCAGTTAAAGATAGAGTTCTTCAACAGGAAAAGAAGTGATGGGCTGTAGAATAGAGTTTGTAAATTCAAGAGGTGAGTGGGGCATATGCAAGGGGGACGTAGGATGTGTTTTTAAGAGGATAAAACCTTAAAAAATATAAAAAACAAGAATTTTAACAATAGAAGTAAAAGAGTTAAAGGAAGAGTGAGAGAGTGGGCAATAGAGTTTAGCTATTGGCAAGAAAAAGAGAGAAGTAGAAACAAAGGAAAACTGACTTGTGAGTCAATAGGAAGTCAATCCAAAAATATACTAATCAAAGACCTAATTTTCCAAAAAAAATAGCACAAAAAAAGAAAAGAAAAAAAAAGCTTCCTTAGGGAAATGTTAAAAGCTAAAAAGAACAACAAAAACAAATATGTATATGTATAAATGCATAAATGTCCATCACTTGTCAATCAATACACATTCAAAAACAAATCAAATCATAACAAAAACAAAATAGCAAAATAGTCAATGAAAGGTTTTATTTATTTTTTTGCCCGCTTTCTGTGCCAAACTGCCTTTCTGTTTCTCAGCTTCCCTTCTCAGTGGGATGGTGTGAAGAGCTCTGGAAGATGCTGGCAGCCTGATTTCCTGAGTTTTGTTCGGAAGTTGAACAATGTATTACTGTAAGTGAAGCTCACAGGGGTGGGGATTTGGTCTGTATTTCCTCAGGTGTTTTTTATGAGGAGGTTTTGGGGCATTAATGAATCAACATGCATCTAGCACTGCATCCCACTGCTCTCCACAGGGCACCACCCATGGGATGAGGGAGTCTGTCCATTGAGGGTTCTGTTTTTCAAGGATACTAAGGTTTTTTTTTTTTTTTTTTTTTGGTTGCTTTTTGCTTCCCAAGGGGGGTTTTCAAGCACTGAGCTCAGTCACTCCACCCCCGTTCAGTTTCTGCTGGTCCTGTGTGCTGTTGGATCCTGGTTCAATTGGAGGGAGGGATAGAAGCTGAGGGCTTTCTCTATTACCTCTGATCTATATTACCACCAGGCAAAGCTGTCTTTGGAGCACTGATCTCTGTTACTCTTGGTTTCTCCCTGTTGCAGATCCTGCTTACTGCCAAGACAATAGAGTGGGGAAGGGGGACATGGGCTTTCTCTGGCCTCTCTGATCTGTATTGTTCCCAGGCAAAATGGTCTCCATGCCAGAAAATCTCCTGATTTGCTAGACTCACTTTAGAGCTCACAGTTGGCATCGGCTGGATTCGTGTGTTGGTTTCTGCCTTGAATTCATAAATATAAGCTCCTGGTCTAAGTTTGCACAACTTTCTCATAGACATATTTATGTTTTGAGCTCCTTGTGCATGGCTGGCAGACCATGACTTTCATGTACCAGTTTACTGGGCCAATAGCCTCTGGGTCTGCCCCGGGCAGGCTGCCCCCCTTCGATCCTGGGGTTCCCCATACCAAGATATTCCAATACTTATAAGTCTTTTCAGACCTTGTATTTTACCCCCAGCCCCAACTTCCTCCTGAAGCTCAGCTCCAATTCAGTTCCTTGGCCTTATTTGATGTGCTCCAACTTTCCCAATGTTCAAGGCTTTCAGTTGGATACTGATTATCAGTGGAGTGTTTTTCCTTTTCTCTCACCTCCTGGAGAAGTAGTTTCCTCACTGTTTGAGTCCTGAGTCATGGAGCTCTGAGAACCAGGATTCGTTTGGATGGTATAATAAAGTATGGAAACATTGTTCAACACTATGGCATACACACTGATTTGGTGAAATAAAATTATATTGGAGATAAGTAAAAGAGTTCATTGTTAAAAGTTCTTCCCTAACATCCAGAACATCTCCCATATCCAGGATTTTCAGGATTAATGATGTCTCAGAGGGGTAAAAAGTAATATTTGGCAAGGGTATGTCACCTGGAAAAAGCTACTAAGAGTATTTTTGTCATGTTCGGGAGAATAACATTACTGGTTACAAGAGGTATGAAACAAATAGCCACAATTCAACTGTTGGGACAGAAATAAGAATCATAGAATAGCATTTTTCTTTTCTAGAAGTTTTTTAAGAGCCTCTTTGACATCTTTGTTTCTCAGGGAATAAATCAAAGGGTTCAACATAGGTGTGACTAGGGAGTAACATAAGGAGGCCACTTTGCTCAGTTCAGGAAACCTGTCAGGGGTGAGGTACATGAAGAAGACAGCCCCGTACAGCACACTCACGACTCCCAGGTGGGAGCTGCAAGTGGAGAAGGCTTTCTTGCGGCCCTCAGTGGAGCGAATATTTAGAACTGTGGACACAATATACATGTAAGAAACAACAATGACTATGATGGTTGGCAAGATAATGATGATAGATAAGGTAAAAGAGACAATTCTGTGGACAAAGAGGTCAGAACAAGATAATCTCTGAAGTGGGCGAACATCACAGTAAAAGTGGTCAATGGCCCGAGAAGCACAAAAAGATAAAGTAAATGTCATGCTGGTTTGAAGAACTGAGCTTACGCAGCCACAGAAATAGGAGCCAGCCACCAACTGAGTGCAGAGCCGTGCTGACATCTGAACAGAATAGAGGAGTGGGTTGCAGATGGCAATGAAGCGATCATAAGCCATGGCTGCCAGGAGAAATCCCTCCGTCACAATGAAGAGTGCAAATAGAAAGAGCTGGGCCACACAGCCTGCAAAGGAGATGGACTTGCTTTCAGACCAGAAGTTGCTCATGGCCTTGGGTGCAATAACAGATGAATAGAAGAGATCAACAAAAGACAGGTTGCCTAGGAAGAAATACATTGGTGTGTTCAACCTGGGGTCAGTCATGATAATGGCCATCATCCCAACATTCCCTAGAAGGATCATGACATAGACAAGCAGAAATATCAGGAAGAGGAGAAGATGGAGCTCATGGCGCACCCTGAAGCCTATGAGAATGAAGTCAGTCATTTCTGAGTGATTGCTTGTTTCCCTGTCACCCATGGAAGACACCTGATGAGAGGCATAAGCAAAGTAAACAAATACACTCTTAGCTTTGTTCTTAGCATTATAAATCATCTTACAGTATTTAGATTTACAAGATTATTCTGAAATCATTGTTAATTTTATCCTTGTAGAAAAACTGTGACTTAAATAGAATTCGACTAAGTGATTTTTGAATCAATTTTTTTTCCCTTAACTTCTTAGAGTCGCAGGATTTTTTTTTTCTGTGCATGTAATGGAATTATACTGAAACATTTTCACATTTGAAAATACCACTATCTACATATTTCCCCCTCTGTTTTACATAATAATTTCAGTATCATAAAACGTGACTGGAAGAGAGCACAAATAATTGATGAATTGCATTCAGGAAGCACTTTAGGTACTCTGGATTTGGAGATATCGGGGTCTTTAGTAATCATATTTAGGAAAACCTGTGGGTTTTATGTACAGAACTAACAGATATAAAGAAAGTGACTGTATTTTTAATTACTTAAGATATTCAATTGCATTTTGTAGGTCATGGAAACTGAATTCTATACCCACTAAATTTGTATACCTACTAAAATAAAAGGTGTGCACAACCAATTAAAAATATGACAATTGCTCTCCCAGATGCAAGATCAATAGTGTTTCATTAAAAAAAATAAATTGCATTCCCTTAGCTCACATTTCATCGTTCTTTAAGAAGAGGTCTTCAGAAGAGTCACTTTAGAAATGCACATGGAACAAAATATGCATATGAGGGAAGTGTTAATTGCATTCTTATGTATCCTGAATTCATCCTCATAACTACCATTAATTGGTTAGACAGCTTAAGTAGATTTGAACTCCTTGTATTAAGAACATGGTATACTTTTTTATTTCCCTTCAGGATTATGTTTCATTCCATATGGACATTAGTAATAGCAGCAAATATATAGAAGGCATTTTAAATATGCCAGACACTTTTCTCAAGGTTTTCATAATAGCTTGTTAATCCATGCAATAATAATATAAGGTAAATACTTTTATATTGCCATGTCTACAGGTAAGGTACAGAGAAATAAAGTCTGTTGAAATTCACCTGCTGGTTCAGCATGTAGTTCAAGGCTAAGAAACTTGTCTCCAGAATCCATTCTCCTAATCATTCTTAATGGTTTATTAATACTATTGCCTTTTTAAAAGGAAATCTTTCTGTTCCTTTACTTGACTTCTACTGGTGCTTTCATGTTAAAGTTTCCTATCTTTAAAATAAATTTCTTAATTCTCTCATCTGGGTCAAAATACCTCCCAAGAATAATAGATATTATCACCATATTTTCATATTAAATATTAATTATTCCTCACATAACAATAGATTTTTTAAGATAGGACATAACTTGTTCTCCATATATTGTCACCATGATACATTCTGTGCCTGGAAAATGGCATATCTATAAATGTTTATTATGTAGTTAAAAGCTGAATAATAATTGAGCATGCAGAAAGCAAGGAAAATGAAATACTGTGGCAGTCAGCATGGGTTTTGGGTTAGGACAGATTTAGATTCTCACTTCCTGAATGAGACCTTGAGAGAGTTCTTTATTGTGTAGAGAGCATTTGTGTAATGTTCCTTGTTGTGTAGAGTACTCAAACAGAAAAAGGCAAATAAGAGCAATAAAATTCTCAAAGTTTTCTTGTGGATACAAATTCATGTATGAAGACAAATCATTTGACACCATATACAGCAAAGTATTCAATAAATGTAGCCATGATTCCTTTCATTGTAATTTCAAAAACAATGAATACTGAAGCAGTTGAATAGTAATAAAATGCAAATGGACCTTTGAGGCTACACCATTCTATGCTGAGAGAAAGAATTTGAGAATTTTTTTAAAGGTTTGTAGAAAATGAAGAAATCTATGAGCAATGTAATATTTTCCCTGAGGCAAAAAACAGGACAAAGAGAAAAATGGCATGATGTATTATCATAATTCAAGACAGTTTTAAAAATTAAAAATAAAGTGTGCACCAATCCTATCAAAAATTAAGTATGCAGACTACTTTATTATAAAGAAGAATGATTTTAAATTAGGTCATACTTTATGGTCTGGGGAGGTGTGGCTTACTTTAGTAGTGAAAGAAAGCCTGAGTAGTTATGAAGTTCTGAAAAATAGTATATTTTATTTGTCTTCCTTTAATTTTGCCTAAATTCCTTTAATTTCCAAGGTTTATTCTTATGAAACTCTTTGAAATATCATGCTTTAATATTACTATTAAATATTCATTATTCCTCACCTGATAACAATTTCCTTAATATCAAAATCAACTCGTTCATTGTATATTTACTATCAGCAAAATGTTCTGAGTCTGGAAAATGGCAAATAATCAATACATATTTATTGTATAGATAAAGTATATCTAATTAGCATGGAGAGTCAGAGAAATGTTTAATAAATCCATATCTTAAATATCATGAATGTTATAACATCATAAACATTAGTAAATATATGGGTTAAGACATTTTATCTGGAAAAAAGAGTTCTTCCCAAAGCAGCCAACAAACAAACAATGAATTTGTGGCTAATTATTTGCCAAAAGCTCAAGTGTTTTAAAAGTAATTTTTTACCTTGTGTTATTTGGTAGTTGATCAGATATATTAAAGATGAAGCAGTGGAATCCAAAGTTTTCCTCTTTTTTAATTCTAGAAAAGGCAAACAAAAAGTTAATTAATTGTTATGTCACAACTACAAGTACTGGAAAATGATGATTTTGATATAAAATGAAACTCTTCCCCCAAATGAATGTTAGTTATCTTAGTTTTAAATTTCTGCCATACAGAAATGTCACCTATTTTTCTCATCTGTATTTTTTAAACTGTGCTTTCCTTCAGTAGTTGATTTCTTGAGAGTTTATGTAGTCTTTCTCAGGAGAAAATCAAGGTGAATTTTTTAAAAAAACACTCTGCCAAAACTGAAATGATAACAGAATCTATATTCTATAGTTACATAAAGTGAACCTCAAGAATCAAATATCAACATAGCTTCTCTCCTGAATTCTTAGGTGCTCATATATTTTTAAGGAAGGAGAATAGATTGGTGTCGATATGTAAGTAGAGGTTCAGATTCCTAAACCATCTGGAATCTAATAATCTGCAAAAATATCAGCCACAGTTGTTCTTAAGGGTTTTGGATTCATTATAACAGTGTAACTTTTCCCAATAATTGCAGCATTGAGATTTCTCTTGCCTTCTGGGAGACAGTCACCTTTGGGAGAGAAGGAAATGTAAGTCAGTTATTACATGTCTAGGTTCCAGAACCAAGTCCATGAGGACCATAGAGACTCTGGATTTTTAAAAAGAGAGAGCATAATAGGACTTAAATAATACAATAGTTTTCCTCTTTCCTTGTGTGAATGCTTAAGTAGGAACCAAAAGGATGTTTCCATTTTAATTTCTACATTGAAAAGTCACATTTTCAATTTAATATCATAACATAATTTTTGGTAAACAAATTTAAATAGATATAAAAAGAGATATTATATTTCATAATAAATTTTAAGGGATTTTTTTTGGTAGTTTTGTAGTGTGCTTTTGATTTCGTTTCCCTAACATCTGAAAATATGCAATATATATATTTTTTTCATATATTTGTTGGCCACTGTTACTTCTTTTCAGAAATGTCTGTTTAGCTCATTTGCATACTTACTGTTTAGGTTATCTGTGTTTTAGGTGCTAAATTCTTTGAATTCTTATGTATACTAGATTTTAATCTCCTCTTGGGGAGTAGCGGGAAAGAATTTTTTCTGATTCTGTAAGATCTCCCTTCATGCTCTTGATTGTTTTCTTTTCAGTGCAGAAGATTTTTAATTTAATGCCTCCCATTTGTTCATTTTTTTGTAAGGAAAATAAAGGGAGACAGGAGCAAGGTGCAGAGGCAAAAGCAAAAGCTGCAGGAGCAAGCTGCTAGCTTTATTTATATCCATAGGTTACTTTAGATCATTGACATCATTAGTACATATTGTTCATTGTATCACAAGGCAGGTTACAGGTTTAGCAACATTATGTAGCTTATTCCTCAGTTACATACTAAGTTGCAATGTGCAATACTAGGAGCTTTTTAGAGCTCTCAAGAAAGCCCATTGTATAAAGTTACTGTTATGTAGACAAGTTTAGGCTCAGTGATACATTGTGGTTGTCTAACAAGAGAGTTCCTTTATTCCCAGGAGCTGAGTGTCTGAGATCAAGGTCAAGGCTGATAAGACTCTATCAGAGAGCTTCCTCATGAAGAACATTGCTCCAGCAGCTAGGCATTCTGTGTATTAGTTATCTTACTAGTACCTAGGAGAAACTGTAGAGCATTCTAAGGGTGGGAAAAGGGTGCCTGTTACCCCACAGACCCCTGGGAGTTTGCTCACCAGAGGAACACTTCTCTGTATATTTCCGTGGTCAGAATACCTACAATTTTTGGTATTATTTCCTAAGTTTTAAGCATTTTATTGAGAAAATCATTGCTTGTGCTTATATGTTCTACTGTTGACACTTAGATTTCTTCTAGCAGTTGTAGAGTTTCTGGTCTCATTTCTAGCTCTTTGATTCAAATTGAGTTGACTTTCATGGAGAGAAAGGCAGGGGGCGGGGAGAGAGAGAGAGAGAGAGAGAGAGAGAGAGAGAGAGAGAGAGAGAGAGAGAGAGAGAGATTTTCATTTTTCTGCATGCATATATCCAGTTTTCCCAGCATCATTTGTTATAAAAAGGGATGTCTTTTCTCCAATGTATGTTTTGTGCCTCTGTCAAGCATCAGATGACTATTTCTGTGTGAGCTTATCTGTGTCTTCTATTACATTCATCTCTGTTTTTAGAGCAGTACCACACTATTTTTGTTACTACACTCTGTAATATAATACAAAGTCAGGCATTGCTTTTTTGCTCAAAATTGTTTTGGCTATTCTGAGTCATTTACTCTTCCAAATGAATTTTGGAATTGTTTTTTCCTAGTTCTGTGAATAATACCATTGGTATTTTGAAGGAATTGCATTGAATCTGTACATCAGTTTTGGAACATAGTCATTTTAACCGTATAAATTTTGCCCACTCAAGAACATG